GCCGCCAGGGCAACGCGCGCCGCCCACTGCGCCCCCAGCGGGAGGCCCTCCATGGTCGGGGGCCTCAGTGCTGATGCGCCTGCGCGTGCCTCTCGGCCGTCTGCGCTGCCGCCGCCGTAGCTGCCGTCGCCCCCGTCGTCGCTGGAAACCGACGGGAGGCCGCCGTGGTAGCGCGTGAAATGCTTGACGGCCTGCATGTACCTGTAGTGCTCGACGTCCGCGATAGCCCACGCAGCCCTGCCCCAGCGCGCCGCTGCGCGGTCCATGAAAGGCTGCTCCGTGTAGGTGCCGACCGCGCCATCGCTGCCAGTGCTGCCGCTGGCTTTGGGTGCCGCCGTCGAAGCCGATGCTGCCTGCCCCGTGCTGGCGGCTGCTGGGCATCCTCCACCTGCTGCCGCCAGTGCGGCAAAGGGGCCTGGAGGGGGCTGGGCTGGGATCGAGCTGACCCCCTTCAGCAGATGCTGCTCCCCTTGCCGGCTTTGCGTCTGCGCCGCTGGGGGCCTCCGCGGCGTTCGCGTCGGCGGTGCCATCGCCCTCGCACTGGCTGATGCGTGCGAACGCGTAGTTCGCGCACAGCTCCATCCACGCTGCCGCGTCGAGCTCAGGGTCGGGGGCGTGCACGTGCGGGGGCCAGCCTTGAGCGAGGCGCTGGGGGGTCCTCCGGACCCCTTGCACGCCCACCCCGATGGCGCTCCAGTCGCCGACGGCTGCCGCTCGCTCGAGAGCGGCGCACAAGACCGGGGGCTGCAGCGTCCCACAGCGGTCACCACTCAGGTTGGGCTGCGGCGTTGACCGCGGGTCGCCACTCAGATTTCCCGCCGCCCAAGTGCGGCCCCCAATCCGTAGGAAGCCTGGTCGAAACATCGAAGGCGATGGGGGGCGCCAGGGAGGGGCCTGCAGTAGTCGCCGCGCTCCTCCAACCACCGTTTCGATTCCAAGTAGTTGTCGACCGTTCGGCGGTACTCCCCCCCCCCATCTTCGGGATGTAGGTGGCCGAGTTTCGATGGATGCGAACCAGCTCTCGCCTGCCAGGACCCCCGCGCCGCCACGCCGAAGAGCAGGCCTCTTTCGAGGTGCGCATGCGGTCTTCGAAATCCCGCGCCAGGCCTGCGGCGGCGCGCGCCGGCAAGCTCAGCATGCGGAAGATGTAGGGCGCGCGCTTCTCCATTCACTCGGCCTCGTCCTCGCAGTAGTTGGGGCCGCTCGGGTTGGCGACCCAGCTGTGCGCTCGACGCCCCAACGCGCGCTTGTAGCGCTTGATGGCCCTGGCCTGCATGCGCCCGGCCTCGCGTCGCTCGGGGCCCAGCTGGAGGCGCTGCTCGGGCGCCTGTCCCCCGCCGTCGGCCTTGGCGCCGCCTGTGAGAAGCCTCGCCTGTGTGAAGTAGTCGCCCAGGCGCATGAGCTACCCCCCCTTGAAGCTGGCCTTCGGGCCCTTGATGGGGCGCGCCTTCGCCTGGGGGCCGAAAGCGAACTGCGGCGGGCCCCCCCGCCCCCGATCGAAGTCGGCGTTATCGGGGTCGATCTGGTAATCCCACGCGAGCTCCTCCACTGCGCTCTCGCAGAGCCCCTGGCATGCCTCCCCCATGTCCTGCAGGGTTCCGCTCATGTCGATCTGGGCCCGAACAGAGCTGCGGTCCCAGTGCTTCCCCAGCATGGGCCCGCCAGGGCGGGCCAAAGGGAAAGCCATCGGCCCCCTGGCCCTGGGCGACTGGCCAATGTCGCCGCGGCAGGCAAGGCTGAGCTGCAATGCCATGCGTGGGCGACAAGGGTTGGCGCAACCCTGCGCGGTCACGCCCAGGCGCTTGCAGGCTAGCACTCGGTCGAACAGATCGGAGCTGACGATGGGCCAGTCGAGCTCCGATGGCCCCTTGGACGGGGAGCACTGGCCGGCGCCCGCGCCCGCGTCGACAACGCGTCCGCCAACTTTTCTCAGCCAATGCCCCGCACGTTGAAGGAAACGCTCGGGCTCCACGTTCCAGTCGCCTGCGATGACCCACGGCTTCCCCGTGCGCTTGAGGGGTGAGCCGACCTCCTGCAGTACAGACTGGCTGGTCTCGCCGGCGTCGTCGTTGTCCAGGTATGCGGAGCCCAGCAGGGACCCGCCAGGTACCGCTCCATTGACATGGTCTATCGTGGCCCTGCCGTCAGAGACATGGCAGCTCGCCTTGCAACCTGCACGCCTGGGCCGCACACGCCGCGGGCAGGGCGAACTGCGACCCCAGTGCCGCCGCTCACCGCGCGCTGCTGCGATGCCAACGGAACTCACGCCTGGGGTCAGCACTGCGGTCCAGCCGACCTGCCTGCACCACTGCTCCTGCTCGACAACTCTGTAGCCGTTGAGGTGGTGCTCCTGAAAGCAGATCGCATCGCCCATGCGCGCGTCGGCGACCACCTGCTGAAGCGGGCCCTGCTGCTCTCCGGGAACGGTCGCGAAGGGGTCCCAACCGCTGCCGTTGAGGCTGACCAGCGTGAAGATGGCCTTGCTACACACGCTTCCCCCTCCGCCTGAGCCCCGCCGCGCGGAGGCTCTGGAGGAGCTTCTGCGCGCGAAGCCTGCGCCTCTGGGCTGCCTGGGCTGCCGGGTCACCGCGTCGAGCCCCTTCGTCGCCGCTGCCCGCGCCCGCTGCCGCGCTGTCCTCCTCCACAGGGACCTCGACCTCCTCCTCCATGCGGTCCAGGATGTTGCTGAAGTCAGCCTCCTCGAGTTCTTCGTCGCCGCTGTCGCGCTCTGCTGCCGCGCCTGCTGATGCCGCGCCGTGCGCCAGCCGCCGAAGCTGGGAGACTTGTTCCCATTGCTGCGCGTGCCCTGTGTTGAGCATGCCAGAAGCCTGGTCCAAAGCTTCCAAGAAGGCTGCGGCGCGTGCGCCCTCGCTGAGCAAGGCTGCTGGGGACCGAGATGCTGCTGCAGTGGCGCCCACCCCCAACTCTCCTTCTCCGAGTGAACCTTCACGCCCACGTTTGTGCTTGGCCAAGATGTTGTCGATGAGCTCCTGGACCTCCTTCTCCGCAGCCTTGCTCTGATCGTGTTTGCCCTCCAGCTCGAGCTTCTACGCCTCGAGACCCGTGATCTCTCGCGTGGTGTCCTCGATGTTCCTGGCCAGCGCTTCCGGGGTGCTCTGCTGGTTCCGCTGCTTGCGATCGAGCTCGCTGAGCTGCACGGACGTGGGCTTCTCCTTGGCGAGCTCGTGTTCCAGCTGCTGCGCCTCCTGCCTCTTGCCAGCAAGTATTTCATCCGTGCCCTCAACTCCTTCGAGCTTTCTGATTTCACTCCGTAACTTCCCAAGGCGCCGTACCTTCTCGTCCTTCGGGGCGGACTGGGCTGCAGCTGCTGCGCCTCCATCACGTCCTGAAGCTGCGAGAGAATCTCCTTCGAGTTGTTTGACCATCCGCCGCAACTGGTTGAGCTCGTGTCGTTCTTTGGCGTCCAGATGAGACATGCCATGCCACTCCACCACGAGCTCGCGCCGGATCCTTGCTCCCACCAAATCAGCAGCTGCGACAGACGCGCCTGGTGCACCAATTTTTCTTGGCACCGCACTTGTGACAATCCTGGGCTTTGGGCTGGCTGCCTCCACCGCTGCTGCTGCTCCCCACTCCGCCTGGCTGACTACCTCCTCGTCCGCCTCTGCCGCCTTTGCTGCCGCCGCCACGCGCGGCTCGTGGCCGCGAAGGCCTCTCTGAAAGCTTGGTAGATTTGAAATCTGACCCAAGAAGTGACGCGACGGCGAGAGCCAGCCACATGGGACCTGACATCTGCTCTGATCGCATCATCTTGAACCAAAACGGCTTGAGCCAAAATGGCTACGGATGATGATGCTGCTGCTGCTGATGATGCTGATGATGATGATGATGATGATGATGATAATGATGATGATGATGATGATGCTGATCCCGCTCTCCCGAGGAGGGTCGCCGCCGAATCGCAGTCGCCCACCGCACGATATGTAGCTACATTAACTCGGGGTGCCTCGACCTGGCGATCGCGATCGGTTGCGAAGCGGGCGAGGCGGGCCGAGCTCGGCCTTGGCTCCCCCTTTGGTGGGGTTGAGCCCTCTCCACACTCTCTTCAAACAATCTTTGGCACGCTCCGAGGGGGGGTGGCCGAGGCACGGCTCGACGAGGCCCTTCGCACGAGTGGATGACGTGTGGGCCCCGCACCGCATGCAAAATGCCACCCCCCCCGCACGGCACAACGAATGAGACAAGTCGAAACGCAGGTGCCACCAGGGGGGCAACTCTTCTCCGAGCTCGACCACCGACCTTGGCTGCCCCCCTGGAGGTCCCCTACTGTTCCTGCTGCTGATGATGATGATGATGATGATGATGATGATGACGAGGAGGAGGAGGAGGAGGAGGAGGAGGAGGAGGAGGAGGAGGAGGAGGGGCGGGAGATTATGATTTACGATAGTCCCCATCATCTCCATCACCATCAGCATCAGCATCATCACCATCGCCGTCGCCCCCATCAACATGACCACCATCATCGTCGTCGTCATCAGCATCATCATCCACAATGGGGACACTCAATCGATTCACTAAAAGTCCACCCTAGTCCCAGCGAGGCTATAGGCGCAACCCTGCTGCAGCCCAAGAGTCCGCCGCTCAGCCCCTGCACCCCCGCCCCCCCCTCTCGCAAGGCGCTCGGGGCAGACGACGGGCGCGAATCGCCCAAGGGAGAGCAGTGCATGTATCCAGGGGCGCCGATGGTCCACGCCTTCGGCGAGGCGAGACTCCTCGGCGAATACGGTGCAACGCCGCCCCCCCGGGGCTATTCGCCCCTATCGTCCGATCGTCGCCTCCGAGGGGAGCGCACGCGCAGGAGTGGAGAGACCATCCGACCCGGGAGTGCTGCACGTGACGATCCTCAGGACGCGTGTCGGCGCCCCACGCGCGGGCTGACCACCGAAGCCCTTCCACGTGACGCAGGCGGCGCAGCGAGCGCCGACGTCGGTTGCGTGCCACTCGCCCCTGCCGTCGCCTCCGAGCGCTGGGGCCCCCGCGGCTGCTCCGCCCCGGCGAGCGGTGGGGGCCGCGGCGGCAGCGGCCCCGAGGAGGCGGCCGCCGCCCCAGGCTCGCCCAGGGCCGCGCGAACCTGCGGCCGCCCCGCGGGGCGCCCCTGCCTCGGCTCCTCGGCTGCGGCTCTGCCTCGGCTCCGACTCCTCGGCCCCCGTCTCGACCCTCTCGGCCCCGTCTCGACTCCCCAGTGCCGGCCCCCCTGGGCCACGCACCCCCGCCCAGTTTTGAGAGGCGCTCGAGGGTTCCGACTCGGTCCACCGGCAGACTCGTGGCCCCCGCGTGGGGTATGGATGCAGGAGCCTGCAGCCAACGCGCAGAAGAAGGATGCACGATGAGGATGCGCAAGGGCCTGGGATGGCCGTGCCGACACTTTTCGAGCGGGACGCGGCCAGCGAAAATTGCCAAGGATGGGCCGAAGTGGAAAGATGCAAGGGTGCAGGGTTCCCTATGGCCCCCCTGGCCTACACAGGGGGGGCGGAGCGTCCGCCAACGAGGGTGAGGGGGACGGGGGGGGAGGGACGGGAGGAGGAGGAGGAGGAGGAGGAGGATGCAAGGGGCTAACCTTCGAAAGTCGCTCGTCCTTACTGTCCGCGCGGACTGTACCTGTAATTGGTGGGCCTGCCTGCCCTGCGGCAAGACGGCTCCCATGACGCCAAGAAGGCACCCGAAGGCCCCGAAGACGCCCCAAGAGGCACCCCGAGAGAGCTCCCATAAGCAAACATCGTTGATTTCCGATCGCCTAGTGGGCTTCCACTGCGTCCAAGACGGCCCAAGTGGCACCCAAGCCGGTCGAGGATGCCCCCAAGAGGGCCCCAAGACGGCCCACGACGGGCCCAACACAGCCCACGAGGCGCCCAAACCGCCCCAAAACGTCCAAATCGGCGCCCAAGACGGGGACGAGGAACCGGAAATTCACGCCTTTTGGCCCAAGAGACCCCCAGGAGACCCCAAGAGGCTCCAAGAAACGCCCCAGAAGCCCCAAGAGGCTCCCAAAAGACGAACAAAAAACACCAAAAGATGCCCCGAAGACGCCCCAAGAGGCACCCCAATAGAGCCCCAAATAATCAAACATCTCAGATTTCCTATGAGGAAGCTGATGTTTTTGGCGTGTTCGCCTTTTGGGCTTCCACTGCGTCCAAGACGGCCCAAGAGGCACCCAAGCCGGTCGAGGATGCCCCCAAGATGGCTCCAAGACGGCCCACGAGGGTGCCAAGACGGCCCACGAGACGCCCAATCCGCCCCAAAACGTCCAAATCGGCGCCCAAGACGGGGACGAGGAACCGGAAATTCGCTCCTTTTGGCCCAAGAGGCCCCCCGGAGACCCCAAGAGGCCCCAAGAAGCGCCCAAGAAAACCCAAGAGGTCCCCAAGAGACCCGCAAATACACAAAAAGGATGCCCCGAACACGCCCTAAAGGGCACCCCAATGCAGCGCCAATAAAAAAAAAATCGTCGATTTCCTATGGGAAGTCGACGCTTGATGGCGCGTTCGCATTTTGGGCTTCCACTGCGTCCAAAACGGCCCAAAAGGCACCCAAGCCGGTCGAGGATGCCCCCTAAGAGGGCTCCAAGACGGCCCACGAGGGGGCCAAGACGGCCCCCGAGGCGCCCAAACCGGCCAAGAGCGCCCCGAGTCGGCGCCCAGGACGGGGACGAGGAACCGAAGATTCGAGCGCGTTGCCCCAAGAGGCCCCCAGGAGACCCCAAGAGGCTCCAAGAAACGCCCCGGAAGCGCCAAGAGGCCCCCAAGAGACACGAAAAAGCACCAAAAGAGGCTTCGAAATAGCCCCCCAATGGGCCCCTCGAAGCGGCCCAAGAGAGCCCAAGGGCGCGCCCAACAGGGTCGACCAGAGAGCTGGTCCGACTTTCCACACTCTACACTGGGTCCGTCACCGGCGGTGCCTCAAGCAGGCGTTGCCGCTGGAGTCCTCCCTTGCAGAATGTTCTTGGTCAGCCGTTCGACTTGTTGCAGTCTGGCCAGCATAGCAGGAGGAGGAGGAGGAGGAGGAGGAGGAGGAGGAGGAGGCGGCAGCGGCGGCGGCGGCGGAGGAGGAAGAAGAGGGAGTCAGGATGGGAGGGGCGGAGGAAGCTAGACGCGAAGGGTGGGCCGCTCTTCGACCGCGTTCTGACGTGGACTCCGAGGCGGATCCAGCCATGGAGCTGAGGGCCCTCCCCCGAGGACCAAGAAACATCGAAAATCCGCCTCCTCCTCCTCCTGCTTCTCCTCCCCCTCCTCCTTTTCCCCCTCCCTGAGTCCCACCTCCACGCGGCAATCCGTGTACGAGGGGGATATCGTCTTTTTGCAACCCTCCTTCACGCGGCATTCAGCGTACGAAAGGCGTTATTTCCCTGCGCAGTCCTCCTCCACGCGACAAAAATGTGCAAGAAAGGGACAGTTCTCCTCCGCGCGACAAAAAGGTGCACGAAAGGGATCATGTCTCTTTGCGTCCCTCCTCCACGCGGCAATCAGTGCGCGAGAGGGAGATCGTGTTTCTGCAGCCCTCCTTCACGCGGCATTCAACGCGCGAGAGGCTTCGTTCCACTGCGCAGTCCTCCTCCACGCGACACAAAGGCGTACGAGGAGAAATTTATTTCTCTGCATCCCTCCTCCACGCGGCAATCCGCGCACGAGGTATTTGCCAGTCTGCAGCCCCCCATCCACGCGACAACTCGCGCACGAGAGGCGCAGTCCTCCTCCGCGCGACAATTTGCGTACGAGGAGGATTTCGTCTCTCTGCGAACCTCCTCCACGCGGCAATCCGTGCACGAGAAGGAAGTGTCGTTATGCAGCCCCCTTCGCGCGGGAATTCGTGCATGAACGGGACTTCGTCATTCAGCAGCCTTCCTCCACGCGGTAATCCTTGAAACATAATGATTTTGTCACTCTGCAGCCTTCTCGGGCTCCGCGTCGAGCCCTCTCGGAACCATCTTGAAGGCCATCGATCAGGCAGGGGGTGATGCCCCAATCGGGGTCGGAACAAAAACACGTCTTACACTTCTTGGGCCGCTTTTGGGCAACCCTTGAGACGGTCTTTTCTGCTCTCGGAGCTGTATTTCGCTTCTGCTGGATCCCTTTGGGGGCCCACTTGGGCCCATCTTGGAGCCGCCTTCTGACTATCAGAATCGACGCTGGGAGGAGGCAAACGTCATAATGTTTCGAACGCTTCAGAAGGAGTTTGATTTCTTGGAAATTTTCCTGGGGCGCTGGGATGGCACTGCGGGCCGTCTGGAGGCGGTATTGAAGGCTTTTGGGGGGCGCGTTGGAGAAATATTGATGCAGTTTGGCACACTTTGAACGATCTTTGAAACCCATCTTTGGGCTCGTGGGGGCCTTTTTGGAACCTTCTGCGGCCATCCTTGACGCTCGAACGGCCCGCCGAACGCCCTCGTCCAGGGGGGGGTAGGGGTAGGGGGTAGGGGAAAGCCCCCGGCCCGAAACAGATAGGGGGAGGGCCGCTGGGACTCTTCTTCGTCAACCCTCCTCGTCCGGTTTCGGTGGATCCCACCTCGGCCTCGCTTTCCGTCGTCTCGGGCCACATTGCTCATGGTGTTGGTGATGCCGCGGCCGATGTTGCTCGGGGCCTTCGGTTCCCTGGTTGTCTGAAGCAAACTGCCACTCACATGAGCATCCTGCCACCCTGCTGTCCAGCAGCACAATCCGGCATTCAGACGTTGCCCGGGTCTGAGGTTGAACCTGAGCGCGCGCGAAGCGCGCGCGATGGTATATATATATATATAATATATATATATATATATATATATATATATAATATAAGAATATATGAATATGTAAATGGGTAGGGGGTCCCAGGCCCTCCAAAGTGCACTGATTTATCTTCCCGCCGTTTCGGGCCCGGCGGGGGGCGCCAAAAAACGTCAAGGCGGCCGAGAGACGTCCAAGAGAGCGCCAAGATGGCCCAAGAGCGCTCCAAGAGAGCCCAAGACCGCACAAAAGCGTTTCAACATTGGTCCAACATGGCTTGAAGACAGCCAGAGAGGACTTTAAGACGGCCAATATGCTTTCAAAAGGACTCCCACGAGGCACTCAGGAGGCGAAACAAGTCGTTTTTTCTATGGTGTTCGAAGGTTTTTCGTCTTCTCGCTGTTTCGTGCTTGCGACGGTCCAAGACAGCCAGCGAAACCCCAGAAATCAGCTCAACACGGCCCAAGATGCACCCAAAGGGGGCGCCACGACGGCGCAAGAGAGCCCCAACACGGCCCACGAGCGCCTCAAGACGGCCCACGAGGCGCCCAAGATCGCCCAAGAGGGCCCCAAGAGAGGCCCAAGAGGGGGAACACGAACCGACCATTCGAGCCTTCCGCCCCAAGAGGCTTCCAGGAGGCCCCAAGAGGCCCCCAACAGAGCCCTAGAGGCCCTAGGGCCCACGAGGCCCCAAAAGGTCCCCAAAAGACGCCCCACGAGCACCCCAAACGGCCCCCAAGAGGCCTCCAAAATTGTCTTCAAGGGGCCCCCGGGAAGCCTCCCACGAATCCCAAACGAACTTCCAAGGCGCCTCTAATCCACAACCCAGGCACGGTGGCGGGATGGGCCGAAGGCCACTATCGAGAACGTGAACCGAGAACCCGAAATCGCCCCAGGAGACCACCAGGAGGGGTCAAGAGGTCCCCAAAAAGCGTGGCGACAGATCACCACTCGACCGGTCGATGAAAGCGGAGGAGGAGGCATGAGGAAGAGGCGGGAGGAAACAGAGAATGTTGACTTCATTACTCATGACCGCCTTGTTGTATCAATGCGGTCAGCACTCGACCAGCTAGAACTCAAGCTCGCGCGCGAAGCGCGCGCGATGGTTCTAGTATATAGGTATATACATATATATATATATATATATATATATATATATATATATATATGTAAGTTTATATATATAATATAAATACTAGAGCCGCGCGCGCGCTTCGCGCGCGCTTAGGTTCTAGCGCAGACGCTGGCAACTGCAATGTCGAATGGTCTGAGCCTTCTTGGCCCGTCTTGGGGCCGTCCTGAGGGTCTCTTGGGTGGTCTTGGGGCGGTCTTGGGAGGCTCTTCGGCACTCTCGGACCGTTGGAAGCTCGAAAAC